AGAAGAAGAAGGATAGTCTTTGCACTCACGGAACATCCTATGCATGGCAGAGGAAGAGACAGCCCATGTACAACGGGAAGCAACAATGACTAAGTCTACTACAGGTTCAAAAAAGGCTTTGCCCAAGTGATAACTGTTTTGAGAATGAACAGGGGTTTGCAAGGGACAGCGTTCCAGAGGGAATGACAAATGCAAAGGTACAGAGATGTCAGAGTGCACAGGGTGACACTGCAAGTGGTGTGGCCCATGTGGGGCTCAGGGCAGCAAGGCCTGGAGAGGTGGACAGGAACTGTGTGTCACAGAATGAGATAGCGTAGAGAGGAAACTCCAGAGATGCAGGTGGGAGAGGCAAGGGAAAGGCATCAGGGGAAATCAGGGTTAGCAAAGGAAACATTGGTGCCCAGAGAAAAGGCCAGGCTGTGGGATGCTGAAGACAGGGACACAGCCAGGTGCGGTGGTGCGCACCTTAATCCCAGCCACTCAGAAAGCAGAGGCAGGGCTGGGATTTAGCTCAGTGGTTCGGTGACCTGCCTCGCAAGCGCAAGCGCAAGGACCAGAGTTCAATCCCCGGTACCAAAAAAAAAAAAGAAAGCAGAGGCAGTAAGATGGAAAGTTAGAGGCCTATCTGGAGCATTTGAGTCCAACACCCCCGCACCACCAAAAAAAAAAAAGACATTCTGGTTCCTTGAGAACCCAGTAGTAATACAAAAGAGAAAGGTTCCTTATCAGCCTAGCTCACCCCACCTACTGAGGTGAGAATGTTCTTCCTTCCACCCTCATAAGCATGAGATTTGCATTGGCACAGGATCAGACATAATAACACCTCTGGGCCCCCTAAGTCACCCAATGCTCCCTCCAATTGTTGTGTGTGCCCAATAAATAGTGTAGTGACTAGCTCCAAGAGTCTTTTCTTTCTTTCTTTCTTTCTTTTTTTTTTTTTTTTTTTTTTTTACTCACTATGTAGTTGAGACTGACCTGGAACTCACTATGTAGCCCAGGCTGGTCTCAAACTCACAGCGATCCTCCTGAGTGCTGGGATTACAGTCATACGCCACTGCACCTGTTTTTGTTTTTGTTTTTTCTGAGAGTCTTTTCTTTGCCGACTCTGAGTCACTGACATCCGGGTCCACCATATACTTGGAAATTACAAAAGTCTCTATTGTCTTTTTCCTCTTTAGCCCTTGTAAGAGCCTGACTGAACCAGAGCGACTCCATGTGGACCAGCAAATGACCTAGAGACTGTTGCTCCCCCCCATCCCTTATAGGATAACTAATGATTAATTGTGAATTCTTAGGTAACTGCTTTGAAGTAGCTGGGAAACTAAATGGAAACTGTAGTGAACACAGAGACCCAACACAAATCACGCCACTCCTTACCTGCCTGTAGTTGAATGTTCTGAACATTATAATCTAAGTTGTAAATGGAATAATGGATAATCGCTCTGCTGATCATTAGTACGTGACGGTCAAGTATATGCTTGATGACCACTAGCTCAGATCAACTGATTCTTTGCCTTTGTCCTCTTCCTGTAAGTTTTAAGTGTAAACCCCCCCTCAGCTCTATCTAAAATGGCCTCTGTTTCTGAGCAAGCCGCCACTCTGAGCTACTTGGCTTGGGGAGTGCCGTCTGGCCAGACTAATAAAGGTCTATTTGCCAACTTGCCTAGTGTGTTCCTTCCTGGGTGACTCTCGCTGTCAGACAAGCTCCTGGAGCCTCGCTGAGCTTCTGAGCCCAGTATGGTGGAAGCCTCTTGGCTGTTCATGCTCCAGGAGTAAAAGTGAGACTTAAGTCTTACATCTCGGAGGCCCCAGCAAGATCCCCAGGTGGGAACTGTAAATCTGGCCAAGATTCTCTGTCGCAGGATCCAGCAAGAGATTCTCAGACATAGACCTGAAAAGCCTCCGGAGGTAAGTTTTGAATCTGTTACAACCATTTGATGTCATGGATAGAGGTGGCTGAGGAGCAGAGAAGCCTCACCTGACCCTGGCCCTGACAAGGATTCCGGGTAGAATCTAAGTTCTTTTTCTTTTGTGTGGCACCTGTGTGTCTTGTCTGTGTCCTGTCTGTTGAGTGTTAACTTTACATTCATTCCTAGGAACAAGAGGATGGGAGGATCGAGCTCCAAAAATACCCGGTTGGACTGTTTTCTCACTAACTTTAAATTGGCTTTTTCCCCTCAGCAGGAAGATGAATATGGAATGAAGTTTTCTCAAGGGAAACTCCGAACCCTCTGCAACTTGGAGTGGCCCACCTTCGGAGTGGGCTGGCCAGCTGAAGGTTCTTTCGTACCAAGACTTTGTCAGGCAGTATGGGCAAAGGTCATTGAACACCCTGGCCACCCTGACCAATTCCCTTATATTAATGTCTGCGCCCAGGCCTGTGAAGAACCTCCGGCATGGCTGCAGCACTGCTCCCTGCGCACCAGTTCTCGTATTCTGGTAATGGTACCAAATGGGATAAAGTCCGCAAAGCGGCAGGCACCCAGGCCGGTGTTCTCCCAGGAGCCGGACCCCTTAGAGCCTACTGACCCCGGGTTAAGACCCCTCCGTATGCAGAACCATCCCCTGGGGAGGCAGAAGTTAAGTCCATCTACCCATCTCCCCCGAAAGAAGGGGAGATCCCGGATTCCACCACCTCTCCTTCCCGTACCCGAGGGGGCTCTCTCTGCTTATGGGCCCCCGGAGGTGCCCCAGGAGAGGCCGGACCCAGTCCCTGTGCTCCCATTGAGAGAAGTAGAACAAGGTCATTATGTATACATTCCTTTCTCTACAAGTGATTTATATAACTGGAAGCACCAGAATCCCCCATTCTCTGAGAAGCCGCAAGCCCTAATCTCCCTCCTCGAGTCTGTGTTTAATACCCATGACTCCACCTGGGATGATTGTCAGCAACTTTTACAGGCTCTGTTCACATCCGAGGAACGAGAAAGAATTAGAAGACACGCTATTCGGTCAGTGCTGGGGGAAGCTAAGGGGCTTGTTGAGGACCAACAACAACAGGCCCGAGTTGAAGCACAACTCCCCATCTCCCATCCCAAATGGGAATCGAATTCCACCGGAGGTAGGGAAGCTCTTCACAACTACCATCAGCATCTCCTGGCTGGCCTTAGGGGAGCCGCTCGCAAGCCTACCAATTTGAGCAAGGTAAGCGAGGTCCTACAAGGGCCTGAGGAATCCCCCTCTGCCTTCCCGGAGCATTTACTGGAGGAGTACCGCACTTACACTCCAATTAACCCAGATGCTCCAGCGAACAGGCAGGCAATTAATCTGGCTTTTGTAACTCAGTCAGCCCCAGATATTCAGAAAAAGTTACAGAGAATTGAGGGCTTTGAAGGAGAGAATACAGAAAAACTGATAAGTGTAGCAATGAAGGTGTTCACAAACAGGGATCCACCCAAAGATAGAATAACTAAAAAGATGGCAAGGGCAAATATAATCATGATGGCAGAAGAGGGTTTTATACAGAAGGGGAGAAAAATGAAATGGGGAAATAAGAAGAATTTAAACTAATCGGAGAAGAAGAAAATTCCGCAGAACAGGACTTGCTGGAGGTAAACAGCCAGGTGGAGACCATCCACCCGACGGTACTGAACCCCTACACACTGCTGAGCCTCATTCTGCCCGCACATGTATGGTATTCAGTTCTTGATCTCAAAGATGCACTTTTCAGCCTGCCCCTGGCACCAGTAAGCCAGCCGCTCTTTGCATTTGAATGGACAGAACCCGGACACTGGAACTACTGGACAATTGACAAGAACTCGGTTGCCACAAGGCTTTAAGAACTCCCCCACACTGTTCAGGGAGGCTCTCAGCAGAGATCTACAAGAGGTAAGGAAAGCTTTTCCCTATGCAACTGTTCTCCAGTATGTAGACGACCTCTTAGTGGTGACCACAACCGAGAAAAAATGTCTCACAGCCACCGAGGGACTCCTGGAGGCCCTACAAGGTCTGGGATATCGAGTGTCCTGGAAGAAAGCCCAGCTCTGCAAAACCAAGGTAACTTACTTGGGTTACGTTCTTGAAAAAGGAAAAAGAAAGTTAGCTGAATCCAGGGTGTCAGCGATCCTTCAGATCCCCATGCCCCACTCAAAGAAGCAGGTGCATGAGTTCCTGGGGGCCATAGGATACTGCAGAATCTGGATACTTAGCTTTGCTGAAATTGCCAAACCCCTGCATGAGGCTACGGCGGGGGGGAAATACACCCCTTGAATGGACAGAGGCTTGCCAGGAAGCATTCCAGACGCTCAAGACTGCACTCACCACAGTGCCAGCCTTAGCCCTGCCTGATTTAAATAAACCATTCACCTTATATGTGGCAGAGAGGAACAGAGTGGCAAAAGGAGTGATCAAGCAGTCTTTGGGGCCTTGGAAGTGACCTATAGCCTGTCTATCCAAAAGACTTGACCCAGTGGCCAGAGGATGGCCGTCTTGTTTAAGGATGGTAGCTGCGGCTGCTGCTTTAACTCGGGAAGCTGATAGATTGACTTTTGGCCAGGATCTAACTCTGATCACTCCTCATGCCATTGAGCCCCTGCAGCACAACTCACCAAGTAGATGGCTATCAAATGCTAGATTGTTGCAGTACCAGGGACTCTTGTTAGAACAGCCGCGCATTAAATTTGCCACAACATCTAACCTGAATCCTGCTAGTCTGCTCCCTGAGTCAGATGACCACCTGCCCATCCATGACTGCCTTGAGACTCTTGAAAATCTGTGGGGAGGACGTCCAGATCTGACGGACCTGGCCCTTCCCCGACCTGAGGCAACATACTACACTGATGGATGCAGTTTCGTACATGAAGGTGTGCGATATGGGGGAGCAGCAATAGTCAATCAGGATCAACAGGTAGTATGGGAACAAGGGCTGCCCCAAGGGACATCAGCACAGAAGGCTGAACTGATTGCTTTAACTAAGGCTCTGGAATTAGGAAAAGGAAAAAAAGATAAATATTTTCACTGATAGCCGTTATGCTTTTGCTACTGCCCATGTACATGGAGAAATTTACCAGAATAGAGGACTTTTAACATCAGACGGGAAAGAAATTAAAAACAAAGTTGAGATATTGGCTCTGCTGCAAGCCATCTGGCTGCCGAGGGAGGTTGCCATCATTCACTGCCGTGGACATCAAAGGAATTCCAGCCCTGAAGCGATTGGAAACAACACAGCTGACCAGGCAGCAAAGCAAGCTGCCCCAAAATCAGTGGGGAAACAAATGGTGCTGCTACCTACACCCGTGCTCCCAGAGAGGCCTGAATACACAGAGGAAGAAATAACGGAGATGAGTAAGAACCACTGGACCAGAGGAAAACATGGATGGTGGACAACAGATGAAGGGAAGGTCGTTCTGCCAGCCGCGGTGGCCGACACTTTGCTAAATGAGCTCCATGAATCCACCCACCTAGGAGAAAAGAGTATGACGGCCCTGCTACGGCCCCACTTTGTCAGCAGAGAATTAGCCCAGAAGGCCCGGGACAAAGTGAGACGGTGCTCCACCTGCCTCAAGGTAAACGCGAATCGGTAACTGGGCCCCCAGGGGTCCGATATAGGGGACTAACTCCCGGAGAACACTGGGAACTGGACTTCACCGAAATGAAACTAGGCATGTATGGTTACAAATATCTGTTAGTTTTCATAGACACATTCTCAGGGTGGGTGGAAGCATAACCTACTAAAAAGGAAACAGCTGAGGTAATAGTAAAAAAGCTCCTGACTGAGATAGTTCCCCGATTTGGCTTGCCCTTAGCCCTGGGGTCCAACAATGGCCCAGCCTTCACAGCTAAAGTGTCTAAACTGATTAGCCTAAGCATTGGAATTAGATGGAATTTACATTGTGCTTTCAGACCTCAAAGTTCAGGACAGGTAGAAAGAGCTAACAGAACACTAAAAAAGATTTTAACTAAACTGAGCCTAGAGACTGAATTAAGTTGGGTGGAGCTTCTCCCTTTTGCTCTGTTGCGTATTCGATGTACTACCAAGCCTCCTCTGAATCTGTCAACCTTCCAAATTATCTATAGGCATACTCCCCACTTGGTTCCCCATATAGACATGGAATTAAAGGAGAAATTCTCTCATCTGAGGTTGCTTAAATCTCTGAGAGCTTTACATGAAATACAGTCTCAACTACAAGACCAGGTTAGAGGATCTCTGACCCTTCCTCATGAGAAACCTCTACAGCCACTGCCCTATTAGCCAGCAGAACTGGTTTATATTTGCAGGTTTGACTCCAAGACCTTGGAACCACGGTGGAAGGGGCCTTTTCCAGTTGTCCTGTCTACTCCTCTGGCTGTGAAGGTTGCGGGACACCCGACGTGGATCCATCGCAACCACCTTAAGCCCGGCCTGGACAACAGCCCAGAGGCATACGGAAAATGGAGCGTCATCAGCAAACCCGGAGAATTGAAAGTAAAACTCCGCTCAACTGGACCTTCATTATGATCTGGGTGATTTCCCTTGGGACAATAATAGCGTTGTCCAGAGAGAACTTAGGTCATACTAAAAACGTTTGGGTGCAATTAGCTGAATCCTTAAATTTGTCTGAAATATGTTTAAATGCTGATGTGAATTTTCATTATGTGCTTGGAAGTTGTTTGGTTCCAGTATGCACCCCACTTGAAAGTATTAGACCATATACTATGTTTAAAAATTTCCCACAAGTAAATCTCAGTTATTTGGATAGTTACAATTGGGGACAGGTGACATGTTACAAACCAAAGAATGCTATTAAGCTATATACCCCTCGAGTAGCTATGTCCAATAAGACTCTCTGTGCCAAATATAAAGGCTGCACTTCCCAGTGTTTAAATCTTAAACAAACAGATGTAATGAAGTGTTCTAGAAAACAAAAGATTCCTTACAGCAAATGCCATATTACTTTGCCACTGGGCTAGTTTTATACTTGTGAGGGAATAACTTATAATTACATCCCAGCAAACTTGACCGAGGCCCACTGTTGTCTTAGTAAATTAGCAGTCGTCTTACCTGACAGGGGAGACCTCTCACCACCCAACAGAACAAAACGCTGGTCTCCCTATACTTCACCAGGCTGTGATGATGATGTGGGACTTTTAACAGATGCTGAAGTTATTCCTATGATTATTTCTGTTATAGGTATGCCCTCAATTGGAGTACATGCTGAAAAGGCAGTTAGAAAACTAGCTTGCAAGGTAATTAAAGGGTTAAATACCACCTCTGCTGCGCTGGCACTAATTAATCAAGAACTCCAGGAACAGAGACAAGCAATCTTAGATAATAGGGCAGCAACTGATTATCTGCTATTATTTCATCACCAAGGTTGTGAGAGGATTAAAATATGTGCTGCTTCAATTTAACAAATAATGGGCCAGCTATAGAACAAGACATAGAAAATCTCAAAGATTTAGCTACAAAGATTCATAATGAACAGATAGGATGGGATTTATTTAAATGGTTAACAAGTTGGTTACCTGACATTACCTGGGTAAAACAACTGATACTCTGTGTGATGGATTTTGTATTGCAATAACTTGTTGTCTTTTACAATGTGTTCCTTTATTAAGGCCCAGAGTCAGATATAAGTAAATCAAAGATTTGATTTAGGTCCAAAAATCAGTGGGGAATGTAAGAGCCTGACTGAACCAGAGCGACTCCATGTGGACCAGCAAACGACCTAGAGACTGTCGCTCCCCCGCATCCCTTATAGGATAACTAATGATTAATTGTGAATTGTTAGGTAACTGCTTTGAAGTAGCTGGGAAACCAAATGCAAACTGTAGTGAACACAGAGACCCAACACAAATCACGCCACTCCTTACTTGCCTGTAGTTGAATGTTCTGAACATTATAATCTAAGTTGTAAATAGAATAATGGATAATCGCTCTGCTGATCATTAGTACGTGACGGTCAAGTATATGCTTGATGACCACTAGCTCAGATCAACTGATTCTTTGCCTTTGTCCTCTTCCTGTAAGTTTTAAGTGTAACCACCCCCCCTCAGCCCTATATAAAATGGCCTCTGTTTCTGAGCTACTTGGCTTAGGGAATGCCGTCTGGCCAGACTAATAAAGGTCTATTTGCCAACTTGCCTGGTGTGTTCCTTCCTGGGTGACTCTCGCTGTCCGACAAGCTCCCATAGCCTCGCTGAGCTTCTGAGCCCAGCATCGTGGAAGCCTCTTGGCTGTTCATGCTCCAGCCGTAAAAGTGAGACTTAAATCTTACACCCTCGACGTCCCCCTTTCTAGGTAGTCGGAGAACTGACTGCCCTCCAATAGGGACCAATTTGGGCAGCATAGCTACAGCCTGTTTTGAAATTTGAGAAAAAAGAAAAAAAAGGATCAGATTGAGAGTGTAGCTCAACAACAGAGCACTTGCCTAGCTGAGCCCCAGTCTAGGAAGGAAACAACAAAGAGCAAAGCGCAGCATCAGGGATGATCAAGTGAAGAATAAACATCAAGGAGACTCCTCCTCTAACTACCATGATAAAGTGAGTAAGAGCAAAAAAATGAAGTGTGTGTGACTGGTGATCAAACCCAGGGGCATTTTATCAAACTACACACCCAGTCCTTTAAAAAACTTTTTTGTTTTGAGACCAGGCTCACTAAACTGTCCTGCAGAGACTCAAACTTGCAACACACCCATCTCAGCCTCCTCCCTCAGTGCTGGAAATGCAGGTGGTGCCACCACACCCAGCTGAATATGAAGTCCTGATAATCTTTAGGTTTAAATTATTGATGAGAAATGGGATCTGTGTATCCTTCCAGGGTAGTGACCCCACTGTCCTTGGAGAAAGACCTGGCTACATGCAGGGACCCATTTCCACACCAGTGCTGGGCACATCCATTCTAGCAGTGACGATTAACCAAGACTACTATATGTTGAGCACCATGCTGGGGTGTGGAAACTGAGCCCAATTGTCATATTTTTAAAAGATTAGTTTCAACTGAACCATTTCTGTGTAACACACAGGAAAAAGTACACAAGGGCCGGGGACATAGCTTAGTGGTGCCCATGACTGCTTCACAAGCGCAAGGCCCTGAGTTCCATCCCCAGTACCAAAAAAAAAAAAAAAAAAGCACACAAGTTGCAATATCACAAAATGAATGCATCCCTGTAACCATAAGCCAGCTCAAGAAATAGAGCTCTGGAGTCATGAGTTGGACAGATGAAATAAAAAGTAGGTGGAAAGGGGACAAGGAAACCAGAACCATTTATTTTTTCTTGTTTGTTTTGTTTTGTTTTTCAGATCTGAGGATCGAACTCAGGACCTCATACTTGTGAAGCAGGCAGAAAATTTGTTTGCTTAAAAAAAAAAAAAAAGAAAAACCTGACCACAATAGTTAAAGTGATATTGGGTCTTTGGATCAAACCATACTATTTTTAAGGCATGTGAGAAAAACTTTCACTTATCTAGTTGCTAGTCTGATCAGGGCATAACACAAGCAGTGACCCAAGTCACCAACTTTCCACTGTAGCCACTAGGATTTCATGTGCCAACAAGTGGAATCTTCCTGCTCTTGAAGTTTTTATTCCCATGTTGGCAAGCACATTCATTCACGGTGATCTGGATTCACACTGACCGAAGTCTTGATGTCTTGTCACTACACACGAAGGGCTGCGTGCAAACACTCATCAGGCAGCTACCTCAGTTCTTAGCGACATCTTCACAGTGAAAGCCAACCTTACTGTCTGACAAACATTTCCAGCCAAAATTCCAGATTTGATCATCTTTTCCACCTCTTTTTGCTATACCTTTCACATTATTTCACCTATTTTTCGTGTCTGAAAAGCAATTCATGATATAAAACTGTGGAATCTGTAAAGCTGTTTCTAATACGCAATCTTAGTTATCATAAATTGGTACTACGTAATTCTAAAACACAAAATCATTATTAGAAGTTAAAAGCTTCAAAAATCAACCAATTTACTAACAAATATCTCTACTTCAGTAGATAAATCATACTTCTTGAATCTTTGATTGTTCTGTTTGAGTCAAATCACACTGAAATTGCCTTTAGAAAATTGCTTGTCTGTTATTTTTTGGTACCGGGGCTCAAAGTTGTGACCTTGAGTTTGTGAGGCAGCCTGAGTTAAACCCCTGCCCCTGCCTGAAGAAAATTGTTTAAAACTTTTTTACTGGACAACTTCTTCAGGTTTTTTTTTTGTTTTGTTTTGTTTTTGAGACAGAGTCTCACTGTGTAGTTAACACTGACCTGGAACTCACTATGTAGCCCAGGCTGGTCCGGAACACACAGCGATCCTCCTACCTCAGCATCCCTAGGGCTGGGATTACAGGTCTGCGCCATCACGCCCGGCATTTCTTCAAGTCTTTCCTGGCAACAGGTTTCACACCTAGATGAGTCTGGCAGTTTTGTTTGTTTTACTGTTTTGTTTTGTTTTTTGGTACCAGGGATTGAATTTGGGTCCTTGCGCTTGCAAGGCAAGCCACCGAACCGCTGAGCTAAATCCCCGACCCTGTTTTACTGTTTTGAGACAGGGTCTCTCTGTGTAGTTCAGGCTGGCCGATTCTCCTGCCTCAGCCTCTCCAGTGCTGTGATTACAGGCGTATACCACTCCGACCGGTTGGTTATTCAACGCTGCCTTTCAACACCTTCGGGCTGGGCTTTGGGAGTTCTCGCGAGAGTTAGTTCCAGCAGATCATGTGACAACCCAAGATGGCGGTGCCCAGCGATGCGGAGGTGGAGGCGGCAGTTTACCTGGTAGTGAGTGGTATACCCTCTGGGTTGCGCTCTGCCCAGCTAAGGAGTTACTTTAGCCAGTTCCGGGAACAGCGTGGCGGGGGTTTCCTCTGTTTCCACTACCGGCATCGGCCAGAGCTGGTCCCTCCCCACCCCGGTACCGACTCTGCCCTAACTTCCGCCGACTCTGGCGCTGAGAGTCAAATTTTCGCCCAGACTGCGGCCACCGATGCCCGTTCAGTTTCCACTCGGGAGTTTGCTCAGGTCCAGAGCCACACGTGCTGCTGCGTCATCTCGGTTCGGGGGTTGGCTCAAGCCCAGAAGCTTCTTCGCATGTACTCCGGCCGCCGGTGGCTAGATTCTCAGGGCAGTTGGCTCCCGGGTCGCTGTCTCATCCGCAGACTTAGGCTACCCACTGAGTCATCAGGTACGAGTGAAAAAGAAAATGGAATGGGTCTACGTACCTTTCCTGAGGCATGTTGAAGATGTCATTCTTTTGGTTTCGGCTTTTTAGGAGTTTAGGTCATTTCTGCACAGTTTCAGGCTAAAGTTGCACACTAGTTTAATTCAGGCATTTAAAAACAAGAGAGAAGGCATATTCGGATAATATTCCATTTACTTTCTGAGAGCTTTTTCTGTGAGAGGTTGATTTTTTACTGACACAGAAGGAAAAAAGAAATCACATTTCTAACTCTCAACCGAAAATGAACAGCAGAGAGACCAGCTCTCTAAAGAATGTATTCACTATTGGAAGTGTAGCCTGGGATATGTGTGAACCATAGTGTATCTAGGGAGGTTGGGGAAGGTATGGGTTTTTCAAAGGCAAAAATGAAGAAAGTTGCATAAGTTGTTTTGAAACAATTATCCTTGGCTACAAGAATCAATAATAAGTATGGCTTCAGTTCAGGGTTGAACAGGTAGTTGCGAGATGGACATCCTCGTAGAAATATTTTTGTGCAAGTTTGTGGTTTTTTGCAGACACTTTTTTTTTCCCCTCAGTACTGGGGATTGAACTCAGGACATTGCACTTGGGAGGCAGATACACCACCACTGAGCTAAATACCCGGCCCTGCAGACTGTTTTTAATAGTCTTTTATCAGTCAGATATGCAAGAGGACCCTCATTAGCTCTATTAAGGTTTGGCATAAGTGACTCCATTTTGATTCTGACACCTTTCATACATCTTACTGTCTTGCACTTTCTTTGTGCTCCTCACCTGGACAGTCTCTTGTCTATGGACAACACCTATTTCTTTTCTTTTTTTTTTTTTTTCAGCTTTAATTGAGTTTATTGGGACATTTTAGGGATACAGTACAGTTGCATTCATTGTTGGGAATTTGTACCTCTACATGACAGGTCTTGCTTCTCATTTTTTCCCCTTGTCCCTGCCCTCCCTTCACCCTCTTCTCCCCTCCCCATAACACCTATTTCTTGAAAAATCATTTTGATGGGGAAACAGGAAGTACAGTTTATTCAAACAGGAAATACAGAGTCCTCCGGTTTATTCATTCAACAAATGCTTATATTGCTAGACCTAGTGTGATGCTAACTGGTATGCAGAGGACAGCTGGACACAGTCTGTGCTCAGAATGTGATGCTGAGGAGCAAACGCAGGTCCTCATATGCTAAGCACATGCCTTAGCACTGAGTTACACCTCCAGCCTGTCTTTTTGTTGGCCCTCACAACAGTCCT